TGGAAGTGTCTTTGTGTTTAGAATTTTAAGCTGCTCATGTTTCATCTCCTTAACCTCTGAGACAATAGGGAGCCACTTCAGTGAATATACTACCCCTTTTTAATGCATGAGGGGCTGCGACGTACAAATCACACTGAGTTGGTTACCAGCAGTTACAGTGTGTTTGTGTGTTAGTGTGTTTGCTTGTGTGTATTTATGAGCCTTAGTAAGAGTGCACAAGTGAGAGTGGCTGACTGATTCATGGACTGAAGGACTTTCTTGGCTGAATGGCCAAATGATTAACTTTAAAATACAGCATGTGAATGAATATGTATAAAACAATTAAAACCTATTGCCCGAAGAGTCCAGAACTTTCTCCACAGAAATAACTTTAGAGCTTTACTCTTCAGCTCCTGATGAGCTGAATAGTAAATATTTGACTTCAGCACTTTCTTAACTCCTCACGACCAGAGCTGCGTTTGAATTTCCGTGGACAAATTGTCAATGATTTGCTTTCAAAGCAACATCCACACGCCTACTCACTCCCTGTTGCTCCATTTATGCTCTCTGGGGTTAGCTGCATCCTCAAAGGCAATACAGTAAAATGGAAAACTAATCTTCAAAGAGACCCAATCAATGGGCACAGAAGCCTATCATTTCAGCCAAAGAAAATCCGCCCGGGTCCATTCATTAGGTCTGGCTCCAGAGAGAGGAGCCTGACCTTCCTGTGGTCACTGGGGGCTGGGGGGCACAAATGGAGCTCTTGCAGATGGCTCCCTTCACCTCTTTACTGTCTCAGATGAGCTGGTTGATTGCTCGAGGGGTTAAGGTCTACAAACCTGCTGCTGAGTTTTCTGGATTCGGAGGTGCATCGAAGACTCTCTCCTTTGAGAAAAGAGCAGCAAGCAGCTGTTTCTCTATAAAACATAGGATATAACTTGTATTTTGAGATCGACCAAGCATTACTATGTGTAATGCATTGTCTATTATCCCCGTATCAAGGACTTAAGAAAGTATAAACCTTGTGCTTTGAGCTCAAAGCAGCTCAATCCATAATTATCTATTGCTGATGTAGAAGATGAGGGGAGCTGGTTTTCTGATTAGTGAAGAAGTGCACCATCAATAAAGTATGTTAATGCTTTAATTCTCAAAATGATATAAATTGATGCTTCTGGATCAGAGAATTATTTTGCTTCAAGTGCTCTTTTTTTTGGAAATCCGAGCTTGCGCCTCTCTAACAGCACACAATGAAATTATTTTTATTTTTTATTTATCTTTTATTTTAGCAGGGAGGACCCACTGAGACTGAGGTCTATTTTCCAGGGGTGCCCTGCAGCAATACAAAAACAGAAACAGCACAAATATAAACGTATTAACAGTTAACAATAATAGCATCTAGACACTGAAACACATATTCATACATGCAATTCATGTCCATTTAAATGAATTCACATTGTGAAACAGTTGCAATTTCCTTCCTGAGGTAGTTTGGATACCAGATCATTTCAATTTTTTTGTACCAACCATAGACTGTATAGCACATGGTCGTAGTCTTAGTGACATCATTCTCTGGCTTCTGAAGAATAAAATTGAAGCCCATTGGTGGCCATATTGGAATTGCTGTCTTAAACTTCGGTCAACCTAACCGACAAAGAGCTGAAGCTGAGGCGGGCCTTAAACCTCCTGACAAACATCTTCAATGAGCCTGCCTTATGAATAACTGTTATCCTCCATAAAATATAAACTGATGACTCAAAAAAAAGGAAATTGCCACTTGGAACCAACTTGTAGTCTTCAGCCAAATGACATACCTTAGGAGATATATAAATATATATGATTTCCTGATCCACAAAAAGCTCCATACAACTTTCTGCTCACATGCCGTAATGCTTCCAAGGACCGTGAAATTGGTGGAGTTCCCTTTTTAGACACACTGAATGTAAGACTCATTGTGGTTTCTATCACATGTATGGATCCTTAAAGCATGTGTGGATGAATAAGTGGCTTTGTAATTTAACTGAGCGATCACAATGTTTTAAACCCTCAGTCCATCAGCTCTGATACCATTTATACAACACACTCAAGAGATTGCTTCGATAACTTAAGATCCAAAAATGTGCAAAAATGAATCTTCAACTTTAAGGCCAACATTAGTAGAAATGGTATTTCCAATGAAAAGACCATAGCAGCACTTTTCAACACTTCAAAGACAGTATAATGACTATAACATAGACCATTTGATGTATTCTCTGCATTTCCCTGATGTAAATGTGCCTTGAGCCCTGGATCAGGTCTATTCTTTGGCTGAATTACTGAAGGGGCTTTAAAGCTCAACCACTGGCCATTTATTCAGCAATAAAACTGTAAATAGTTTCCGTTTTGTTTTGGCTCCTGACTTTAAAAAAACAATTGTGTTCAAAATATCAGCAGTTACAGTGTCTCCCTGCAGACATACACAAGCCATTCTGACACCTGCAACATGAAACTTGATATAAATCTCTTACAACATTCAATACTGAAGTCTAACATTTACCAAACACAAGCCTGCAAGTCTACTCTGTGCTGTGTCACATACACCTGCTTATAATGAATCCCTTGCAAATTGTATTTCCACTGCATGTGTTACAAAAATAACACCAATGTGTCTCCTATGGTATGTATGTACCAGAGAGAAACAACTGCTGCAGATCTATATTTGTCACAGAATGCCGCTGACAGAGGGCATAGACCCTTCTGTCAGGCACAGCAGCAGCCTGCGGGGTTGGGGGGGATTTAGAGGCACCTTTCACTTGGGTGTTGCAGCTGAAGGATATGAGGAGCTAAAAAGAGGGAGGAAACCAGGAGGGAATTAAAATGCACAGATGCAACGAGGGTGGGAGTGGACGTAACACTATTTCAGTGATGAAAATAACTCTCAGTCCTGGACTCGAGCTATCACAGATGCCAAATACTCATCAGACGTACTGCTTTAAATGTTACTATCTGCCGACTAAACCCATGAAAGACCAAAACCAGCAATCTGTCGCACTTTCTTAATTCCTTAAAGGTGGCCCAGTTCTTACTTAAATACCCTTTTTCTGAAATTTCCTTTAATAATGTCGAGCTGAATTCTTTCCCTCACGTTAAAACAGTGGTGCACAGTCGTTTTTAGCATTCGGCACACTCAAATTGGGAAAAAATAATAATTTATTTGGTGCCATTTTTGGTCACCAATTATCCAGTGAGTGAGTATTTAGATAGAGCCATAGAGTCCTTTATTTATCCCTGCAGGGAAATTGGATTTATAGTTATGATAGTGTATGTGGGATTTAGGACCTACACAGCCTTACACTTTAACATATTCATTCATGTGTAGTTCTATCAACGGTGTGTTGTGACACTGATGTGAAAATAATTTAGGTCCAAGGAACAGAGAAATAACATAATGCACATAAGGCTTTAGCTAGCAAGGGAATATTTTTAATTAAACTTCATAGTTTGTTTTGGTCTTGGATTGGTTATCATAAGAAAAGTACAGAATATCTACTGACCAATCATTTTAATAACTTATCATATAGGTCACTAGACATAACTGATATACATTAATGTCTGCATTATTCTTAAGGGCCTGTGTCCAGGCTTGTTTTGAGCTGGCAGCGCCCACTTTCAACTCAAAACCAATCAGCACTCAGCGTCCTGAGTGTAAAAACGTTCTCAGTGTCAGCTGTTTTTCGTCGCTGTCCTCAGAGCGCTCTCAGTTGAAAACAGTTCAACCTTTGGAACAGGGCCATGCTCGTGAATGTCACTTCTCCCTCACTGACCAATTAAAATCAAGAAGGGGCGGGACCTCTGATATTAGCTTTGTAAACAACAATGGCGGAGAAGAAACTACTGTTAAGTCATCTTGGAGTTTCCAGGTCTAGAGTTGCTGCTGATTCCAGGACACGATTCCCTAACATTGTTTTTATTTTATTTATCGTTTATCATTTCCTGCTGATATTTCCTTGAATAAAAGCAATTTTTAAGCACACAGAGCTATCTAAAAACACACCTAATGGTCATTACAGAGGGAAGTGAAGGTTCACTTTCCAAACCTAACAATACAATAAACACCAGAGAGCAGCATTCTGAAACTGAGGTTGTGAGCGTTGCCAGGGCAAGAAACGGTGTCAGTGGACACAGGCCCTAATTAGAAAAAGTGTCATTGGCAGCAGACATTTGGGCTTTTCTTCATAGTAAAGTATATCCTTAGGTTTATCGGTCAACATTAACTTTGATCACGTTTTGTGCATTAGTGCAATCAGTGTTGATGGGTAATCCTGCTTGTGGAGAATTTCTAGCAGTAACTAGATGAACAAGGATGCATTTCACCCAAGCAGCAACAACTGTACCAGCGTTTACCCCAATGCTATTCTTCATTTTGTAAACCTGCCAAAAGCAAAGAAAGCTCATAGCATGCTTTTTATTTAGAATAAAAGATGTGTAGTTTAAAGGCAGTTTACAGTACAAATTAAGGCACAGATTAAACTGCCAAACTGAAATAGGCTCTTGTTTATCAGGGCCAGCAGCTCAATCTCATAATGGTGCAGATTTTGCTTGCTGCAGCCTTTCCGTTGCCTGCTTGATTTGCTGTACTGAATGAATCTTCATTTCAACTTTTGGTAAATATAAATAAATGTAGTAATGTAAATATAAGAATATGTTTTTGCAAATACGGAGGACAGTGGGTTTTGTTGTGTTGTGTACATCAGAAAACTGTTTTATTAAAGAGGATCAATTACAGCCAGAAAAAGCCTGTTTCAGTGTTTGTATGAGGATTTGATTATAATAGGGACTCTGGAACATTTTTTATTATACTTCAAAATGTCTGCTTTGAAAATGCCTGACTGTGTGAAAAATTCATTCATCAGTTTTTGATTCAAGCCATGTTATCAGTTTCACATCCGTCAGATCAGATTTGTAGCACTCTCCCTCTCTGTGTCAGATACCAGAGAGACCTGACCGGAGAAAGAGAAAGGCAACAGGTCAAAGACTCGTGTTACCTTAGAAAGAGGAAACGGATGGTGGGAGTGTTCGAGTGAGGGCTCTACTTCATCAGAGATGCGAGGAATCCTTCCATCTTGTTTCCTGTGAGTCAGAGAGGATGGAGGGGAGGGGTGGGAGGGGAGAGATAGAGAGGGGAGAGAGAGAGAGAGAGAGAGAGGGGAGAGACAGGTTACGACTGGCCTGAAGCGAAGTTTCTTATTTAAGCAACATGACCACAGGAAAATGTCTACAACACAACTGACTCATCCATTCAGAGAGGATCATTGCACTCTCACTAGAATGTGAGGGTTGCCATTATTGCTGTCCTGAAATATTTCCTACAAACTTAGTGCCCTTTGTATAGATCTTAGCTGCATTTCTTTTGGCTTAACAGCATCAAGGTTGTCTTCATGTGTGTAAGCATACCTGACCAATAACGCTGATTCTTTTTTTTAAGGTTGAAGGGCAATAAGGATCAGAGGCCAGATAGTCAAGAACAGACATCAGGAAGACTGCTCAGAGGAAGAGGGGCATGTCGAAATGTAGAACAAAGTGACACTTGATACAGAGCAGGGGAAGAAAAGAACTCTCTTTCATCTCTTAACCCGCTGCCCCCGCCTCTCTCTCGCTTTATCTGTCCCCCTCACCACTCTCACTCCCCTCCTGTTTCTCTCTCTCTCTCTGTGATTGGAGTGAATTACCAGCTCGACCAGGATTCTGCTCACAGCATATTACTTCACACTTTGTCTCACACGACGCTCAGCCGCTAGAACTGGCAGCCCGTCTGTGCATGCAACCTGTTCCCCAACCTGCAGCAGAGGGCATTTCTAAACGCTGCTGCAGAGCAAAAAAAGACAGACTCAGAACAATGGCACATCTGACTATTCGCTGAGAATGGAGTGAGAATTGGTGGAGAAGTGCACAATAAGCCTATTTTCACTATACCAAGCCATCCAACATAGCAGATTGGACAGTGTCCTACTGTGTTGTAAAATCAAGCTTTGGTACCACTGAAACACAGTTATTGTCCTCTGTCCTCAAGCTTCTTTTTTTGATGTGGCGTTGACGTCCATCACTGAAGTCCCAAAAGTCAATTTGGGTTGGAGGATAAGGACAGAACAGAACTTTCCTTTGTGAGACCAGGGAATCCTGTGTCAAAGAGAAGTTACCTTTTTTTTAAATCACACAAAGTTACATTTGTAAAGACTCGAGATGGAGTCCTGTAGAGTTGGAAGACATAGAGGACAATGACTTCTCTTCTCTTTTATCTGTCAACTCGCTTCGACAAGCTCGTCAGGTCTGTGCGGTCGCTGGGTGTGAAAGATTGACCAATGATTCTGGTGAGGATCAGATCAACGCCAGCGAGCATGACAACGTCAGGGAGTCAGAGGCTAAGAAGAACGGCTTCTGTAGCTTCTTCCGCAGGTAAGAACACTATAGCTAACTAGCCAGCTGAATCACAACAATATATTCCATGGCAGCTGGAGGGCCACAGCTATTTCCTGCCAACGTTTCTCTCATTCATTTCTATTCTAATAGGAGGTGAAGTCACATCAAACAAGCAGCACTCTGTAAATGCCAAAACTGACACTAGAGTGACACGTTAATCTTCATGTTTGTTACGTTGTATGTTGTTTTGTCCCCCTCTGCTGGTTGTAATATGTAACTGTTTGTAACCTGTTGACTGATTGCTTTTGTCTCTCCCTCAGGGGTGTATGGTTGGGGGTAATTGAGGACGGTGCAGATAAGGAGGCAGAAACGGCCAGGCTCTCTCTTATTCTCTCCTTGGCTCCTGAGAGTCACAACAAAATGTCTATTCTGTGTTAATGTTGGCTGAGTAATCTCGTAGAGGGTTTATCCCTTTCTCGCGGCTTTGGTTCAGTGATTTCAGTGATCCTGTGGCTTGTGGTAGAGGGCGAATGCCCGGTCCGACGGCCCTGCGTGGGCTGGCTTGGGTGACTGACCTTTGCTTTTTGTTTTGTTTTGTAAACTAGACTTCCAGCTTATAGTTTTGTTGTTTCTTGGTCAATTATTAATGTTGTTAACAATTTCGGATTGTGAAAATAAACCTTTTTCTTGAAATTATTTAACCTGACTGGTTGATTTTTGTTCGACTCCCTGTAAAAGGAGTCATTAATTTAGGGGTCGTAACAACATTTTTAAGCTAAGGGCCACCGACCAATCTGCTGTATTAGTCATGTTTTGAATAACAACATGCTGGTACACTCACATATTCCCTCCATTTTCTGTCCTCGCCAACATCGTAGAGTGTTGAAGGTTTAGAGGCATAGAGATTCAATCATTTACAGGAGCCCTTTTTTCTGCACACAGTCCATTACCAGATATTACAGATTGAAATGCCTTGTATGTACAAAACCTGCAGGGAATCTACAAGTCTGAGTAAACAGAGCTGCACTTGCCTTATGACAGCCTGCTGACCTGGAGTTGAAGTCAGGAAATCTATTTGTAACATAACAGATACACTGATGTTCTTTGTTGCCTCTGATCCCTGTTGAATCCCAGAAAAGACAGAATAAAGCTGTCTGATCTTTAGCACAGCTTCCTCAGCTTCTCAGAAGCGGCATGCTTCTGTAGAATGAACCATGTTACGTCTTACATATAAAGCTACAAAAGCACAGGGAAAATATGATGTAAAAGTTGGTTTCCTGTCTCTAAAATCCGCCCAAAGGAACAGACTGACTGGGTTTGATCAATCATGCGTCTGCCCCCTGTAGACTGAGGTGGCGCCTTGTTTGACCTTTTACATGGTCTTGTTTGAATCTGTCTAAACTAAAAACTATAATAATGGGAGCCCTCATCATTTTTCAATAGAAATCTTGCATCACTACATTTCAGCAATCTGGCCATTGCTGAAATAGACCTTTGTGGAAATACAATGCAGAGATGATAAAGAAGGAAAAAACCCATCTATGCACTGTATTTTCATTGAAGGCAAAACTAAACAAAAAAACATGTTCTCTGTGAAGACAAACAAATAGGCTAAATATAAAAATAAAGAATTTCAAATACTGTTTTGATGCTTCTCACTTTTCTTTGTCAGATTTAGGGGAAATAATCCTGCTCTACCACTAAGCAACAGCCAGTATCTTGCTTTGTTGTAATGCTGCTGTTGCTTGTATGTCAAAGCACTTTGTAAACCTATGTTTTTATATAAATAAAGTTATTCTTATTATTATAGACATCAACATCATAAACAGATCCGTGTAGACAGTGGCGGACACAGTTCTTATTCTAATTCAAAGGATGAAATGTCCCATGGTAACAGTGGTCCTCACTTATCAAACGTACGTACAAGAGAAAAATGGGTGTACGCTCAAATCCCACGCCAGGTCTCAGTTTGTGTACGCACGTTTTCAACTCAGTGTGTACTTGCAGTGCAGTGAATCTGTCTGTGTCAGAGAGTAATTAGATCATACTATAACAGTGATAGATAGAGGTTCACAGATTTACTGTAAGATAAGATATGTCATCTAAAATGTATTTTATATAACGCTCCATCTTCAACGATCTCCGTAGGCTACAATTCTTTTTAAATAATGTTGAGCAGCGCGAGCTGTCAGGTGATTTCTTTAGTTGTGTGTTATATTTGATGAATTAATGTTGTTTTAATCGAATTACTTTAACGATCAGAGAGGCTGCTTTCAGTAATTAAGCCTACATGTTTATGCGCACAGGAATATCACTGCAGAAAATGTTGAGACAAATTAAAACAGAAAAACTAAAAACAGTTACTTGAAAAGGTCACTAAATACAACGTTTAGCCTCTGAAATAAGAATACATAACATCAACATTAGATCATAACTAATCGTTATGTCCGGATATTTAAATAATCAATACACTGATGTGCCACATGCCTTATTGCGCACAGTAGACCACATAAAGACATCTGGGGGCTGTAAGACGGAGTCAGGACCTTCTTATATGTAAATGTTAAATTCTTATGTTTGGAAAGTAGGCTAATCGGATGAGAAGTGCACGTTACACAGCATTTGGTCAAACACTTTATTCATTTGATGCAACACGTTTTAGGTTTTAAGTCTCATTAACTGCAAGCACGGAGCCTGTTTGTGCAGCCGACGTTATCCGACAAAAATGCAGGTTCGTCTGTACCACTTGTGCCTGATATTGAGGCTGAACCGATGAAGGAAGCCACTCGCTCCTCTATCTGGGATTATTTCAATTGGGGTCCGAATGGCCTCCTCTGGTCACGGGAGTTGATTCTTTTAAGACCCGCAACACTAGGATATATTGTAGCGATCGTATGGTCTGACCACGTTTTTTAAACTAAAAGTATAAAGTTGTGATTATATTATAGCCTAGATTATTTACGTAACATATCACAGATGTTTAAATTAATTATTAAAAACTCTGGTGGAGTTTGCTTATCCACACCAACACTGTTGAGATTTCCATGCAGGCGCATTTCTTCTGACACCCTTTAATCCTACATTTCAGGCTGCCAAACAACACAATGCTATTCCTCTTTACTTCAGTTATGGTGTCTCAGGTCATATCTCGTTTCTCTTTTTTGCCGTATTACGTATCTCCATGCCGTAAACTCTGGGGGCGAGGACAGCTGAACCGTGAATATATATAGTTGCGTGGTATTTAAATGACGATCGTTTCCAGCCGCCACACTTCAACTCCCAGTCCACACACCATGTCCCACGTGGACCCTGTCGTACAATGATTTCTACACCCAAATCTGCACTGGTTTCTACACCAGATTGATAAGTGAGTGTATATCCCTGACTCCTTTCAGTCTTATATTTGTTTCATCATGTTTTACCCTCTGTACAGTAAATATAAGTCACCTTCTGGATTTTATTTAGCATGTAGACAGCGAACCCAAAACCTCCCATGTGCGACTTTGTGATCCGTAATGAAAGGAGAAGCACAAAGGTGCAAATCAATCTTGATTAGGAGACGCCACAGACAGAAAGATGACGGCTGCCTGACAGCCTGCCACTTTCACTACCGCTGGCATGCTTGGTGGCTCTCATCACAGAAGATGAATACATTTTCTGCGCTGTGTGTGTGTGTGTGTGTGTGTGTGTGTTTTATACCCGCTCTGAATTAA